CATCTAGGATCTACAAGGAATTCAAACATGCCCAAAGGAAAAAAACAAACAGCCCCTTTTAAAAGTGGGCAAAAGACATGAATAGATACTTTTCAAAAGAAGATATACGGGCAACCAACAGACACATGAAAAAGTGCTCAGCCTCACTCATCATCAGAGAAATACAAATCAAAACCACATTAAGATACCACCTAACCCCTGTAAGAAAGGCCATTATTAATAAAACAAACAACGACAGATGCTGGCGAGGATGTGGAGAAAAAGGAATGCTTCTACACTGCTAGTGGGAATGCAGACTAGTGCAACCTCTATGGAAGACAGTGTGGCAATTTCTGAAAGAACTAGAAATTGACCTTCCATATGACCCAGTAATTCCCCTATTGGGAATATACCCGGAGGAACTCAAATCATTCTATGACAAAGATACCTGCACATGTATGTATGTTGCAGCTCTATTCACAATAGCAAAAACATGGAACCAACCGTGTTGTCCATCAAAGTTGGACTGGATTAAAAAAATGTGGTACATATACACAATGGAATATTATGCAGTCATAAAGAAGAATAAATATATGGACTTTGCAGCCACTTGGATGGATTTGGAGTCGATCATACTCAGTGATTTATCACAGAAACAAAGAACTGAGTTCCATATGTTCTCACTCAAAAATGGACCTTGAACAATTATAATGCTATAAGAAAGGGATTGGTAGTAGTGGAAAAACAGTCGGGGGGAGGTGGGATTGGCAGTTGACGGAAACGGCTAGGGGAAGGGAGCATACCTCATCAACAAGGATACCTGCATGATTAATGTTCATATATCTAACCCTGAATTGTACCCCACATATCTATAATAAATAAATAAATAAAATAAAATTTTTAAATCAACATTTTCTAGATAATTATAATAAGAGACTACATCATATAATAACTGCAATGTCAAAAGTACAATCTAAAATTACTTGACATACAAAAACAAATAAAATTACTTGACATACAAAAACAAATAAAATAGGAAAATGTGACCAATTTTCAGGAGAAAGAAAATCAACAGATGCCAATGATCAGATAACCTAGACATTGGAACTATCAGAGCCACTGAAACTGTACATGAGGTAAAGGGTAATATACTGGAAATTACTAAAAAGATTGGAATTTTCAGTAGAGAAATACAAACTATAAAAAAGAATTCAACAGGAATTTTAGACCTGAAAAATATGGTATCTGAAATTTAAAACTCCCAGGATGGGCTCAATAGCAAAATGGAGATGACAGAAGAAAGAGAACTTGAAGATACAGATCAACAGAAATTATCCAACCTGAAAACAGAAAAAAAGATTGAGGGGGGAAAAATGAATGGTGCCTCAGCAACTTATGGTATCACATCAAAAAATCTAAAGATATACATATATAACTATATAAAGATATACATATATAACTATGTATGTATATATACAAGATATTTAAATATATAGACATAAATATATAGCTAACATATATATGGGTGTTTTCATACTTGCCTTTATATATACATATATAAATACAGTCCAAAAAGAGAGAAGAAGGAAAAAGAAATTGAAGCCAAAAAATTATTTGAAAAACTTGTGGCTAAAGAAATCCCAGATTTTGTCAATGTAATGTTCAATTCTCAGTTCTAGCTCAGTAGACAATTCAGGTGCACCTGTCACAGCTGATCACTCTTCATTGAAATTCTTTCACACTTGGATTTGAAAGTGTTACATTCATATGGCTTTTCTTCTACAGCTCTGACAATCACTTACAGTCAACTGTGCTGGTTCTTTCCAATATCTCTGACCATAACAATAGCATGCTTTAGATCTCTGGAACCCTCCTCTTCTATAGCTACTGTAATTCCAGGTGACCTCATTCAATCTCGTGGCCTTATGACATCTGTGTGCTAACCTTTCCTACATTTGTATATTCAGCATATACTCCTCTCCTGAACTCCACATTCATGTATCCAACTGCCTACTCCACATATCTCCTATGATGTATAAGAGACAGCTGAAACTTAATAGACCCACAATTGAACTCCTTATCTTCTCCTGCCTTAGCCAAGCTTGTTCCACCTAGTCTTCCCCAACTTATTTGATGGCAACGCCATCCTTCCAATCGTTCCAGGTCAAAACCCTTAAAGGCATCCCTGGCTCACTCTCTTACAACCCACATCGAATAAGTAAGGAAATACTAGCTCCACCTTCAAATTAATCCAGAATCTGATCCTTTCCCGTCACCTTTATTGCAACCATTCTCAGTCAAGCTGCAGCCACAGGTTACTGCAATTATTTCAATAGCATCCTGGCTTTTACCCTGCCTTCCTTCTTAACAAGAGTCTAACAAGCAGTCAGAATGAAATTTAAAACTTAGCACGTCTTCTATAATCAAAACCTACTAATGGCTTCCCAACTCTGAGTAAAAGCCCAAATCCACACAATGACTTATAACATTTTACATAATCTGGCATCCTCCCCTCCTCCCACAAGCACCCCTCCCAAGCCCCTGCTACCTTACTTCTCTGATCTCACCAACCACCACACTCCCCTCCTCTCTCAGGAGATATGTTCCCATTCCAAAACCTTGAGGCAGGCTACATTTTATTCTTTTTGTCTAGTTATAAGTTTCCTTAGGATATCTTTCTAGCTAACTCCCTCTCTTCGGTTCTTTGCTCAAATGTTTCCTTCTTAGTAAGGTTTTCCCTGACTACCCTGTTTAAAACTGCAACCTTTATTATCATCACTGCTTAGTCCCAGCACACGCTATATTCCTTCCTACTTTATTTTTATTTATGTATTTATTATCCTTCTCTCCTACTAGAACGTAAGTAAAGGATTTTTGTCTGTGTTGTTTACTTCTGCATGCTAATGCAAAGATAATGATGGAGAAAAAATTACTTATTTAGAAATTATGTGCCTAGCACACAACAGTCTAAGTGCTTTATATGAAGCATTATTATTCCTAACGATAACCCTATGATGTAGGTACTATTCATTAATCCCATCTCACAAATCAGGGAACTAAGGTAGAGAGAGGTTAAATAGCCCAAAATCACCAGTGAATGGCAACTCTGGGATCAGAAGCCAGAACATTTGACTCACGAGTCCACAACACTCTTACCCATAATGCAAGCAACACAGGCACTCAGTATTTGTTAAATAAACAAACAAGTGAACAGCAGACCCTTGAACAACATGGGCTTGAGCTGCTTGAGTCCACTTATACACAGATTTTCTTCACCTCTGCCACCCTGGACAGAACAAGACCAGTCCCTCTTTTTCCTCCCCATCCTCAGCCTACTCAGTATGAAAATGACAGAGATGAAGACCTTCATGATGACCCATTTCCACCTAATAAATAGTAAATATATTTTCTTTTCTTTATGATTTTCTTAGTAACATTTTTTCTCTAGCTTACTTTATTTTAAGAATACACTACATAATACATATAACATTTAAAAGTATGTGTTAATCAACTGTTTATATTATCAGTAAGACTTTCTGTCAACAGTAGGTTATTCAAATTGAATACTTGGCAATCTATCACAGAAGCAAAGAACTGAATACCGCATGTTCTCACTCATAAGTGGGACCTAAACATTTTATCACATTAGCACAAGGGAGGGACCAGCAGTAGCTGGACACTGCTGGTGGGGAAAAGGGGGCGGGGCACATAACACCACAAAGGGAAACTGGTCCTAAAACAGGAGAAGTGAGGACCACTGGCACGCAGCCTACTTGTGTAGCTAATCCTGACTTATACCCCACATCTCTATAATAAAATAAAAATTTAAAAGTAAGCTATTAATCGTTAAGATTTTGGAAATTCAAAATTTGTATGTATATCTCCAACTGCTCAAAAGGGAGATTGGTGGCAGCCCTCCCCTTCACGCTGTCCAAGAGTCAGCTGCATATGCTTTCATCTCATTTAAAAGTATGAGTCTGTGTATGGATATCTATAACTATAAAATAAACTGTAAGCCGGGCTCGGTGGCTCAGCCTGTAATCCCGTGACTTTGGGAGGCTGAGGTGAGTAGATTGCCGAGCCCGCGGGTTCGAGACCCACCTGGGCAACTTGGCGAGACCTCATCTCTACAATAAAAATCAAAAATTAGCCGGGCATGGTAGCGCGTGCCTGTAGTTCCAGCTACTCGGAAGACTGAGGTGGAAGGATCAACAGAGCCCAGCTGGTCGAGGCTGCGGTGGCTGGGAGCGGCCATTGCACTCCAGTCTGGGTGACAGAATGAGACTCCAACTCAAAAAAATAAATAGATAAATAAATAAAATAAACTACAAGGATTTACAGAAAGGTATTAACAATAGTTTCCTTTAGTATGTGAGATGAGTGTTTCTATTTTCTTATTTTGTTGATCTGTTTCCTAACTTTTCTATAATGAGTTATATTGCATTTGCACTTTATTTTTTAATTACCAAAAAGTCATGTTACAGAATCTTAGAAATGACATGGAACAATGTGCACAAAGTATCATAAATAAGCAGTTATAAACCATTATAAACAAATCAACTCCAATTCTGAAAAGAAAAGAAGAAAGTGAAGGAAAGAGGGAGAGAAGTCATTACAGAGGGAGAGAAGGAAGAAGGGAGAGAGGGAGGGAAGAGGAAACAAAGGAAAGAAAAAGAAATGAAGACTAAAAAGCATAAACAAGTAGGTATATAAGCATGGGAGAAAAACAAAGTTTTTTTCCTGCTAATGCTAAAAGTAGCATTCTAAGCTGTTAGGATTATAGATGACTTTTATTTACCACCTTCTTGAAGTTTTTCAGGTTTTTAGTTATAAAATTTTGTAAGTGTTCACCCCTTTATGTTAGCAACTTTTTTCTAGTATTATAGTTTATTTTCTCCTGAGACTAAATTAAGCAATAGAAACTCAACTTCAACTCATGAAACTTAGGTTTCTTGATCCTAGCTCTAAAAGAGTGGTATTTACACATTTAAAATATAAAACCAGCTAATAAAAATAATTACCTCAACATGTGCTTGTTGCCTTGCCAAAATTATGTTAAAAACATCTAGAGTTTTCTCCAGGTCCTATAAAACAAAGAGACACTTGTAAACAAGAAAGTAATCATTATATTAAAAAAAATTCTTTTATGATTTCTAAGCTTATCTAGTTCATTATCATACTCATGATCTATAATGAAAGTATAAATTTGACCATACACTAGGCTTTCAAAATTTTTTATTTTTTACAAGAGAAAGTAAGTTTTCCAAGAATGTAAATCCTTATTAAAGAGTATAAAATAATTTTTCTATAAGATCACTGTAATTCATAGCATATATGCACATAAAAATAAGAATATTTAGGAAGGGGATTTGTTTTAGGTATTATTCTTATGGTTCTTACTTCTTAGGCTCACTTATTCTTTTTATTTTACATGTTACATTAAAGCACCATTATAAAATACACAAAATTTAATGCAAAATTCTGCAAGTCAGTAAGCAGGCTAAGGTAGAAACTGATTTAAGGAATATAAAAGTAGGTAAGGGGAAATCAAACTTTAACTGGGTAGCCTGTGTTCCAGGTGCTTCACATATTATCTCATGCAATTCTCATGACCCTGTAAAACAGTATTGCTTCCATTTTATATATGAGAACAGTAGACCTGAGAGGCTGAGAAACTTCTGTTCATGATCAGAATAACACTTGGTAAATATCCAAGTTGGTGCCTGAACCCAAAGCCTTCTGACTCCAGTACCTATGCTTTTCCTAATATATCATACTAGTGATTGTCATATATTTCAGAGTAACAGGAATGCAATTCATTCTTCACCATATGAATCAGTGGTAGGAACTGTGTCATAACCAAGATCAGGTGGGATGTTAAGCAAATTATGCATTCAGTGTGTTTCTATCTTTTGAAAGTAGGTAAATAAGACTTCTTTCTGAAGATTGGCAGTAGCAGGAAACTGCAGGGGTACAGGGGCGGGGCAGGGAGGCGGGATCGGCAGTAGTGGGAATCTGCCTGGGGAAGGAGGGGCACACCTCATCAACAAGGGTGCCTGTATAATGAACATTTGTATACCTAACCCTGAATTGTACTCCACATCTTTAAAGTAAAAAAAATTGAAAATGTAAAAAAAAAAAAAATTCTTTCTGGTCTCAAGAAATGAAAGCTGTTTTTATAAATAAGATTTTGGAGTCTTAAAAAAAGTATGTACCATATTTAAATACAGTGTTTTTACTAACAAACAAGATATAGCTAGCTCATGAATGCATATCTAAACAGCTCTGGTATTCTGATATTGGTTTTCTAAACATTATTATAGACACATTTCCCCTAATAGTTTACAATGCCTTGTTTTATCTGATATTAGGTTGGGAGGAACGGTTTTTTGTTTAAAAAAAAAAAAAAGAAAGAAAAAGAAGTGGAAAAAAAAGTCTGCATTTTTCCATAAAATTTTCTCTCAAAGAAATGACTTCTGTTCTTTCTAAAATTGTATTTTGATTCAAATTACATGTAGAAGAATTAATCTTAAAAGATTAGACAAATAATAGCTCTAACATATGAAAGACATACCTGAATCTGTTTCTGTATTTCTTCTGAGACTTTAGTCTGTGTTAGCTTGTTTTTGTAGGCAATTTTGTAACTCTTAAGTAGCTGTCTATGCTTTTTTATGTTACCCCATGACCACATCTGTGTATACCTTCTAATATGAACTTCAAGAACAGAATCAATTGCATATTTCCACCTGAAAATGAAATTTTGTTAATGTAAATTTGAATATAAAGACTTAAGAAAAAGCAGGAAAACAGCTTTGATGTTTCACACTATTAAATTTTTTGTCTTTGTCTTCCTATAAAAGCTTAACCATAATGTTTCAATGCCCCAGTACAATTCTCCGACTTAAATAGATTAAGATATAAGGAAGCCCTCCAGGAAGAGGAATAGCCAAGCAAAGTCATAAAGGCACAAATGACATGTTGTAAAAAATTAACAGTGTCCCAGTATGGTTGTAACATTAAGCCCATGTGGGTGATGAGCAATAAGACATTTTTTAAATCGTGAAAGTCTTGAATGTCAACTCAAGAATGTAGGAATCTAGGAGCAGAAAAACAACGGGATATGCTTATGAAAAAAGTGGCATGGACACATATAGCAATCCCTCCCTCTCCTGTCTATTTTTTTTTTTAACAAAATGACTGGATTATACAGCTTTTGAAGGTGTCTTAACTCTGAGAGTACCAAGTTACATGAATATGTTTCTCATAAAATAAAAAACAAATTCTAACTTACCACTGTCGACCATTGGTATGAAGTGGTAAATATGGCTTGTATTTCCTGTAAGGGGCATTTCTAAACATATAGTCCACTGACTCCAAAAGGTCAATCATACTTAAGTACTGTCAAAACAAAAATAAAATTAGATTTATTACACTGCATGTATAAATACATTTTACTCTATTTTTCAGTCTAGGGAAACTCCAAGTTCCCTGAACAATGTTGCCTGGTAATTCTACAATATTCTATATTTCAATTATGAGTTGTAACTTAATTTTTAAGTTCCACTAAAAAAGAAAACTGCTGCCAATTAAACTGTCATACCACCAACATCCTATCCTATTTTCAGATATGTTAACATCTGAAATAAATGTACATCATAGAAACAATAAAATATGATATCTATAACTGCTGACATGAAATATGCCTGTTTCTAAAACTACATCTTTTTCCTGTATCATCATTTCGGCAATAGCTACCTATGAGCTGATGTTCAAATGCTCCAGAAAAGTATTGCATAACTAAAGCCAGATAAAGCTATTCAAGTAGCCATCTCACCACCATCACAGCAAGTTCGTGTAGATCTGATAAACAACTCAAATGGAGAAAAACATACACATAGTAGTAACAGCAGGCAAGATAGAAATCTAGCTTCCTCCTCCCTAATTTTTCTTTTTTTTGAGTTGGAGTTTCATTCCATTGCCCAGGGTAGAGTACAGTGGCACGCTCACAGCCACCCCAGAGTTGACCTGCTGGGCTCCAGTGATCCTTCTGCCTCAGCCTTCCAAGTAGCCAGAAGTCCAGGTGCGTACTCCCACACCCGGTTAATTTTTGATTTGTTGTAGAGACAAGGTCTCACCAAGTTGCCGGGGCTGGTCACGAACCAGTGGGCTCAGGCAACCCACTCACCTCGGCCTCCCGAAGTGCTGGGATTACAGGCTGAGCCACCAAGCCCGACCCCTAAGTTTTCTTAATGCAATTCTAAGGGTTACCTGCCATGTGGCTATTCATCACATGAAATGTGTGGAGTATGAACTTAAGTGTACTGTGAGTATGAACGATTTCAAAGACTTGAGAGGAGAAAATGTAAAGTATCTCATTACAACTTTTTATACTGATTACATGTTGAAATGATTAATATTTTTGAAATTTTAAGTTAAATAAAATGTTATTAGAGTTCATTTCAGGTTGGGCGTGAAGGCTCACATCTGTAATCCTCGTGCTCTGGGAGACCGAGGCAGAAGGACTGCTTGAGCCCAGGAATTTAAGACTAGCTTGGGCATCATAGCAAGATCATCTCTACAAACATTTTTAAATTTTTTTTTTTAAGTTAAAAAAAATTTTGCTGGGCTCGGTGGCTCAGCCTGTAATCCCGCGCCTTTGGGAGGCTGAGGTGAGTGGATTGCCTGAGCCCGCGGGTTCGAGACCCGCCTGGGCAGCGAGACCTCATCACTACAATAAATCAAAAAATCAGCCAGCGTGGTAGCGCATGCCTGTAATTCCAGCTACTTGGAAGGGTGAGACGGAAGGATCGCTGGAGCCCAGCAGGTCAAGGCTGCGGTGGCCGGGAGCAGCCACTGCACTCCAGCCTGGGCGACAGAGTGAGACTCCAACTCAAAAAAAAAAAAAATTAATCGGCATGGTGGCATGCACCTGTAGTCCTAGCTATTCGGGAGGCTGAGGCAGGACTGCCATAGTCCAGGAGTTTCATGACGCAGGGAACTAAAATCGTGCTACTGCACTACAGTCTGAGTGACAGCAAGATCCTGTCTCTAAGTAAATAAAGTTAACTCCATCTATATTTTTTCTGTTTTACTTTTCTAATGTAGCTACTAGAAATCTAAAATTATAAAAACAATTTACATTACATTTGGACAGAACTGTTCTAAAACTAAATTAGCTAAATCTCCTGCCTTCCTTTCACTTCCAGTTTCTCAGGTCTGTTATCCGAATGCTCTGGGCACATAACCATAAAACAAACGGAGGAAAACCTGCCAATATAACTGTTCTAAAAATTAAACAAACAATATTTAATAAAAGAGTGTCTGCCTTTAAAAACTGAGGAGGAAAGAATATATTAAGATCCTTCATCAACAACTGTGAATTAAATGATAAGTCACTCACTCTAGATTGATATGATTCTCCATCATTTAGGAAAAGGTCTCAGATAAAATGAAGGAAACTACTTCTTAAATCTGAAATTTCTTTAAAAAAAATTTAAGAGTCAAATCTCAACACAATGAGCCAAAAGAACCATTAGAGATACAACAATCACAAAGGATAAAAAAGGGAAGACCAAGACTAATCAAAGCTGGAAATGTGCAAATGAACTATACCTGAGGCTTGGTCAACTCAATGGCAATATTTTGTACTTCTATGTTCCAGTCCAGTTTGGGTGTTTTGAGCTCTGTTTCTGCATAAGGATTCATGTAGAGTTTTGCAGAGGCTGATATTGGCTGGAAAACTTACATCACACAGGAGAAAACATAAGATATGTTTCTACATGGAATGAGTTGTAAATAACTATGAGAACATTACTACTTTGAAACTAAAGAAAAATAATCAAAAAATATAAGAGACAAAATCACTGCCAAAAAATATTTAGACAATTTAAGCCTCTACTTATCTGTATAATAATAAGCTCAGTGGTTAAAGTGGAATCTCCAAGGATGAAACCGGAGTCCAGTTTGTCTGTTTATCCTAACAAACAATCTACTCTTGGTTATTCACAATCTGTATAAAACTAGGCTCCTCTTCCTTGCTACAAGACATTTACTGGCTTTATCATTCATTAAAAATACTAATATACAAAAGGAAATGAAATCTAAATAATTTGTCTTAATCACTGGCAGAATTTAGGAACACAATCATGAATAAAATTCATTCCAGAAAAAACAAATTGCTCACCACTTAATGACTTTCAAAATGATTGTTACATATACAATCTTAGAACCAACTAAAAAAAATTATTCAGGTGAAAAGTAACATAAAAAGCATAAAGGCTGAGGCGGAAGGATTGCCGGAGCCGAGCCGGGCGAGGCTGCGGTGGCCAGGAGTGGCCACTGCACTCCAGTCTGGGCAACAGAGTGAGACTCCAACTCAAAAAAAAAGCACATTAGAGAAGATGAAAGACATAAAAAAGCAAGGTAATAAATTTTAACTGTCAACAGTATTAAAACCGTAAAAATGTTGACAGTTTCTGGTAATTACAATTTGTATGAGATTGTACAAAATGTTTAACTGATGCACAGACTCATTATAAATGGAAAATGTCCAAGAATGAAGTTGTAGATTTTTTTAAACTACTTTCATCAATAAAACTAAATGCTTTCACAAACCGCAACACTTGAAAATTTTACCATCACAAAATAGAGGAATCTGTGAACATAAAACAAAGTATCAACTACCATCCAACAGCAATTAGCTATAAAATAACTGCAATCCCAGCACTTTAGAAGGCCAAGGCAGAAGGATCGCTTAAGGTCAGGAGTTCAAGACCAACCTGGGCAACATTGTGAGAACCCATCTGTACAAAAAAAAAAAAAAAAAATGTTTTTATTTAGTCAGGCATGGTGGTATGTGTCTATAGTCCCAGCTACTCAGGAGGCTGAGGCGGGAGATCCATGAGCCCAGGATTTGAGGTTACAGAGAGCTAGTATTATACCACCACACTCCAGCATGGATAACAGAGAAAAATCCTGTCGGGAGGGAGGGAGAGAAGGAGGGAGGGAGGAAAAAAACAAAGAAAACAACAGTGACAAAAAGCGATATGAAATAACATGGTAGGAAAACGAAGAACAATCATGGAGGGTATACTTATAGCTTCTTTAGAATGAGCTTGAAATAAATACAGCAGATAAGAAAAATAAATAAATAGGTAGGTAACTTTGCTAGAGAACTAATCTTAAAATAACAGTGACACTGCCAAGAAATAAAAATGTTCACTTTAAAAAACTCTCTAGACTGGCTGGTTTATCCTAACAATGCAAGAATGACAGGGTAGGGGTAACCTGAGTATGAAGGTCTCAGAGATTTAGTTGTTGTTTTAAAAAAAAAAAAGAAAGAAAGAAAGAAAGAAAATCTAAATCCTAAAACAAAGAATATAATGACGAGGTAAGAAGAGCACATGAAGGTCAAAGGAGGCTGGCTCTAGAGAGCAAACCCCAGCTCTGTCACTTTCTCTTTGATCAACCTTCTCTCTCTCTCCTGCTCCTCCAGGATGTGCTATGATCGATCTGTTCTAAGCAATTGGCTATAGCCCAAACATGCTGTATCACGACACTAACATGTAACATAGATGTTCTGTCCAACTAACTTGATCAGAAAAAGTATGCTAAAGTATTTAATTCCATGTTTCTTTCTAGAACATGAAATAAACTTTTACTATTACTTACTGTATTGATAATTTGGAGGTATATTTTCACTTGTAAGAATTTCATTTTTCAGCTGATCCTAAACAAAAAATTAGAATGAAAATGAAAAAGAAAATGCACACACATTCAGCCACACACGCAGAATAAAAACTTAGATCTTACACCAGTATCTTTATTCTCTTCTGCGTAAATAACAGTACATTTAAAAAATACACTAAAAATTAGTTACAAGTATAAAGATACAGAGTTGATAATTTTTAAATTATAAATATCTAGAAACAACATTGTAACACTGTGTTTCCCTCTGACTTTGGAAAAAACATATGTATATCCATGAATTGAGCACTCAAATACATGCTAGTCAAAGGCAAATTACGTGTTACACTGTCTTTCTGAGAAACAAGATGTAGAACGTTGAAATTTATTCAGTTGAGATAATTGAATTGCTCTCCCTCTCTCCTCTAAGAAAACAAACATGACTAAGATTGGTTTAGCACCTCAAAGTTTTGAATTGATCTTCCACTATTCAGGAAATCCATTTCCAAAAATGCCTAAACATTTGCCAAGGATATATGTTTTATACATCTGAGATATATCATCTTTCTTCATAATACTCTTAATCATTCTCATATGAAATATTATAATGTATCACGAATACCATCAAAATGAAAGAGTAAAAGGCCATAAATGCAGGTTTAATTTAATACTGCAGGCTCTCCTGTCATGGTCTAGTAAACGATTTCACAAAGACCAAAAGTGCTTTTTTGAAAACACAGATTCCAAAAATGTTTGTTACAGTTCTAATTTAGTGAAACACAAGTTAATCAAATGACTGATATCCTGTCCTCATTAACGATCTCTTATATTAAACAATTACCAAAATCTGTTCCCTTGATCCCTGGTAAGACATGCTGCAGTTTACATTCCAGTAGGCACTAAGACTATCAAGTCGTATAAGCTATAAAAGAAAAATGAAAAAGGTCAAACAACCAACACATTAAAATTACGAACCTATATTAAGAGATTATTCACATATTCACTATTCCAAAATTACTCAACTACCATTCTGAACTTTGAAAGGAAAGGATGCATACATGAAGGGAAAATAAATTCATGTTAATCACAGACTTAAATCCAGCAATTGCTAAACTATAGCTTCAACTATCAAATGTTTACTGAGAATTTAACAGTAAATATTTTGCTGAATAAGAAATATGTCATCCTTCCAGCAGACAGGAACAGCTGTTTTCCTGAGGAGAGGTGGTAGGTGAGGAATCTATAATCAAAAGGTGGGGGAAGCTACACACTAAGTAACCCTCTTGGTGAGTCACAATGCTTGTTAGCATATTTGAAGTACTGTGAAGTCCCATAGTTTAAAACAAAATGAAACATACCTGTTTAATTTCAATAGCTTAGTACTTTAATCAGTAATCTTACTCAACCAGAGAATATTTTTTCTATAACATCTTAAAATATCTCAGCTACTTAGTTCTCTACATTTGGAAAATATTAATTTTATCCAGTTCCTTCATTTGATAGGTGAAGAAGCTAAACCTCAGAATAGGTCACTGATTATAGGTCACACTGTAAGTAGCAGAGTCAAAGCTAGATCTTACAATTTAACTCACATTCCAATGGTACATTCTGCTTCATCAAGGTTTACTAACAAGAATTTTTTACTCTAATATAGTACCTTATATATAATTTTTTCTGCTTCATTTAATATGCATGGAGTCCAGTGTTCATTTGCAGTCTAAAAGAAAAAAGAGTAACTGTGAAATGTGGTATAGATGTCATACAATAATGCTCTAATATTTGCAAACTGTAACAAAGTCACTTAGGAAGAAAATATACCTAACTAATATTAGCTCACATTAGCTATGTTTCTTTCCACATTTTATGGTAAAATCAAAGAAGCATTAAAAAGAGAATTGAGGAAACTATAATTTAACTGAGTTCATTTATTCAGAATATAATTACTGGGCTAGTATCTGTTTGAACTGTGGAAAGAATTGGGTCTAGTGAAAATAGAGAGTCAGCCTAAACAATATTGAAGGATGCACACATTCAAATAAATAAAAAGATTAAATAATTGTAAAATAGGAATAAAACCAAGAGATCATGAAAATCATAGCACAACCATGTTTCTAGATGAGCAGCATAGTCAGCAATGTTAAATACTCTACTTATTTAGCAGTAAGACATTACTGATAAACTTGTTAAGAACAGTGTCAGTGGAGTGGTAGAGTCCAAGCTATTTAGAAATTCCATCTACCTGTACCAGGGATGAATACATGTCTCCACAAAAATTCATCTTCCCTACTATCCCCACATGTTTAAGATATAGCTTTTATTCCTTTCAATTGGCTTGATCATTATTTTTTATACTTCTTACATGAAAAGACAAGTCAAAATAACTAGAAAATATAATCACAACATCACTAAAAGTCTTAAGCTTCTAGAAAAGCTATACAAGATTATATATAAAAATACATAATAGGTGTGTGTAGTAATAGCTGATTTTAAGCAATTCAACCTGTGACTTCAGATTAATACTTTACTAAGTTTCCACAGAAATGTTAAATAAGGCCAACATTACCAACAAACTAAGTTCTCCCAGTGTGACGCCAAATGAAAGAGGCCGCTTTGGGTCAGTGACCTACCAAAGAAGACAAGTTGACGTTACAATATGCTGATGGAGAGGGTGAACACATGCCCTACTCTTTACAGTAGGCAGCAGAGAGAAATGTGTTCACAAGTAACACATCAACCCAACCAAACTTGTGGAAAAAGAAGGGGAGGAAGGCAATAACACGGTTGGGATTATCTATATTTTACAGGTATAACACTTCTGTGACACCAGTACAATACTTTCCCAGGGGAACTCTTTTCTTACTAGAAAATTACCGACTATGGCAAAACAAACTCTTCTCTAGATAGTTAAAAATCAAGTCTTTTTCTGTGTATCATTTAAAGGTGCTCTTCATAGATAAATTTTTTAAAGTATTACAAATAATTACAACTAAATCATTTTTAAAACATTCAAGATACATAATGGAATACTATTTAGTCATGAAAAAAGAATGAAATCATGTCATTTGCAGCAACGTGGATGGAACCAAAGACCATTAGCTTAGTAGAGCAACCCAGAAACAGAAAGACAAATACCACCATGTTCTCACTTATAATTGGGAGCTAAATAATGGACACTTGTGGAATTATAGACAATGGAGACTCAGAAAGGTGGAAATGGGAAGGATAATAAGAAACTGCATAATGGGTATAATGTACATTTTTTGGGTGATGGATACACTAAAAGTCTAGACTTTACATTACAAAATATATCCCATGTAACAAAGTTGTACTTGTACCACTTAAGTGTATACACATTTTTTGGAAATGTGAACTGTCTCTTTAAGCCTTCACTTTTCTTGACACCTCAAAAATGCTTTGTTAGGAAAAACTCTAGTTTCTTAATATTTAATTTCCTAAGACTCTCTATACAAATTCTGGCAGTGTTTTTATTCTATTTCCGATTTTTAATACCTAAGTTATACTTTATACACAGTACTCAAAGTATACCACAATGTGCAGTGCCAGTTTTTTTAGATATCATAAAGATGTTCAAAGTCATCTAGAACTGTTTGGTCAAGATGAAAACTAGGATGGGGAAAAAGCACAATATTCTAAATCATCCAAATAGAACCCCAGAGTGTAGTCAGCAGACACTTCTCAAATAGGAAAAATTCATGTGCTGAAAAGCACAAATAGCTTTACAAGTCTTGGTTTTTAATTGTCAATTACTTGCCATTATGATTTGTGGCAAAACATTTACTTTTATTTCCACACTCTTCTTTTTACACCTACAGATAATTATCTCAAAATAACTTGCAGCTATTTCAGAAGAAATTTTTATTAGTTGTATTAAATACAACTCCTCAGTTGCTAATACACCACATCAAACTACTGCTATTACCCAATGAGGATCTTCATGATAAATTATACTTTCTCTACATCCATTTCTTATACATCTATTTCTCATTATCCTTCTAGATACAATAATTAAGGTAATCACATTAAAAGAGACATAATACAAGAGTCCTCTACACTTTTTAATTTTTTTCTTTTGAATTATTTTATATCCTTTGTCACTGATAACAACTTAAATATGTTGTTTCCACTCCTGTGCATCTCTGCATTTTTTTTACTAAAAAGAGAGAAATAATGTAGCTTTCTTAATAGTGTTTGGTCAATAAAAAGCTTAGTTTCTAAATTCATTCAGCAATATGCCTTTTTTTTTTTTGCTATTGTTTATTTTATTTTTGACAAATAATAACTGTACATATTTGTAGAGTACAATATGATGTTTTGATACATGTATATATTGTGGAATGATCATATTGGGCATATCTTTCACCTCACATACTTATCATTCTTTGTGGTAAGAACATTTAAAATTCACTGTTTTTTCCAATTTTGAAATTTGAATTTTGAAAACATTATGATTAGCCATAAGCACCATGCTGTGCAACAGATCACCAAGACTTATTTTGCCTAACTGAAGCTTGAGATCGTATGGTCACAATCTTCCCTTCCTCACACCCCTTCCATTCTACTCTCTACTTCTATGAGTTCAACTTTTTTAGATTCTACATATAAGTGAGATCATTTGGTACTTGTCTTTCTGTGCTTGGCTTATTTCATTTACTATAATGTCCTCTAGTTTCATCGATGTTTTCGCAAATGACATAATTTTCTTCTTTTTTAAGGCTGAATAGTATTCCACAGTGTATATATACCACATTTTCTTTATCCATTCATCCGTTGACAGGCACTTCGGCTGCTTTCATATCTTGGCTACTGTGAATAGTGCTGAACTGAACACGGGAATGGAGGCATCTCTTCCACATACTGACTTCAATTCCTTTGGATATATACAGTAGTCTCCACTTATCCTCCAAGGATACATTCCAAGACCCCTAGTAGATGCCTGAAACCTCAAATAGTACCAAACCCTTGTATATATAATATATTTTTTCCAATACATACATACCTATGATAATGTTTAATTTATAAATTAGGCAAAGTAAGAGATTAACAATAACAGAAATAAAATAGAACAATTATAGCAATGGCCAGCATCACTACTTTTATGCTTTGGGGACATTAAGTAAGATTACATGCACACAAGCACTGTGACACCATAAGAGTCAATCTAAGAAACCAACCTGATAACTGAGATGGCTAGTAAGTGACTAACAGCATACACAGCATGGATGTGCTGGACAAAGGAATGACTCACATCCCAGATGGGACAGAGCAGGATGGCATGAGATTTCATCATACTACTCAGAACATCAACTTAAAACTTACAAAACATTTATTTCTGGGATTTTCCATTTAATGTTTTTGGGTCACAGCTGACCGTGGATAACTGAAACCACAGAAAGTGAAACCTTGGATAAGTAAAGGCTACTGTACTCAGAAACTGGATTGCTGGATCACATGGCAATTCTATTTTTAGGAACCTCCACACTGTTTTCCAAAATGCCTATAGTAATTTCTATTCCTACCAACAGTATATAAGGGTTCCCATTTCTCCACATATAGTTTTAACAATAATTCTTTCATTTTCATGATATGCTGAATACATTTTATTTTCTTAAGTTTATGATAAACAAGGGTACTTATGAGTTACATTTTTAAAAACATTTATTTGTTAACAAAATTCACTTTAATGACTCCATAAAGCCAAAAGAAATGATTTAAAAAAAAAAAAACTACAAGTGTGTCTTAATGAATATCAAGTTACATAAGAGAACAGGAAAAGAAAATAAATTACATTTATGCCAACACTGCTTTAATTCCATTCAAACTTAAAGCAAATCAACAAAAAATAACAAATTCATTTTTAAAAGAGATGAAACGTTTCCAATTTTGTTGGTAAATAAAAAAATTTTAGGTTTCTTACATATTTTAAACTTTGTTCAACATATTTGCTGCATTTTAATTAAAATTAATCAAACAGTTCTTAATCAATATATGGTAAACATGATTATGAGTGAAGTTCGGTTTCTAAATATATTGCTGCACATGTTTGTGAGTACTTGTGGGTGTTCAATCCTACTCAGTGGAGCGTAAAGCAAATGGGACTACAGTCAAGTGACCAGGGTTTTTGTCCCCTTTGGTCAACTACCATTGCCACTAGTTATTTCATCACCCTGTGAAACAGAATTTTTTATCATTATAAAGGAAAAATTAATTCCTTAAGTTATAATAGTATGTTTTTTAACACATAAAACAAAATTCAAAAACAACTAATAGAGGAAATTCAAAAATCTCTTCTATTGGCTTCAAAAAGGAGCACATATGGTGGTTTTATACTATATTAACATACATAAATGCCCAATAAAACTAGCCTAACACACAAAAAGAAGAAATGGTAGTGTACTCATAAGAAATAAAATCAATCTTGGATTTTAAAAGGGGTACAGATTATATATGGATAAATCAAGAATATCATAAAATACACAAATAATTACTAACAAACTGAGTAAACAAAAATTACTTACATCATCTTCATATTTAATGTGAATATCTGTGATTTTTACTTGAACATTTTTTATTACTTGAGTTGCCAATTTTTCCACAAATGTATCTTTTTTGGCATCTTTTGGCTTATCTATAAAAAAGCAGAAAAATACAAACTCAAGAATTGCAATTCTCACATACCTAATAATTAATGACCAAAGGATAGTTAAAGCACTGCTCAGTGGAAATTATAGCCTATTCTAGAGTCTTTATTTTGTTATATTTATTTTAGATTTCAATATGCATTTCCAACTTAAAATTTAACAAAGTTATACTGTAATCTAACATTCATTTTACCTTCCAAGAAAGAAATAAAGTGGCAATGTGTACAAACAACATGTGGCATAAAAACTACTTTTACCTACCTTTTGAACGATCAAGACTTTTAAAAGGTTTCTTAAAATGTTTTTTGTGCTTTTTACGTTTACGTCCTTCTCAGTGGAAGCATTTTAGTGAGAAAAGGATAAAATTCAAGTTAGCAGACAAGAGGACAGAAAAGAAAACGAGAATTCTTCCTGACAGCAAATTCTGGTACAACTCACCTTACCTTATTCTAAACTGATCTGTTATTTCAGTATAAACACAAATTCACAAACCTTCTTTAGTCTAGAATAAACTTTTTCAATCTAGAAAGTAATTGGCAGATGTAATTATACTAAAATTGAATAACATATCCATTCACAATTTGCTTTAAAATTCTAATGACTTTACAGTACAAAGTTTCAATATATTACCAAAATATTGGAAATGTAATGCTGACAGAACATAAAACTTTCAAAGAAAGGTTTTGATAAACATACAATAAGAACATAGGAATACAAATGAAATGAGGATGACACACTTTATAAGCAAAATTATTTAATGACAAGGATATAAATAATATTAAAAGGGTAAAACATGTACATTGAACTGTACATTAAATAGGTTAATAATAGTTTTAAACCTCATTCTCTTTTATTTGGAATGCTGCACCACATTTTGGCATAGCCAACATCTGTCTTACCCAACATACAAATCTTACATTCAACTGCCTACCAGGCATCCCCTCTAGTCAGAACTCCTGAAGCCATCTCTGTATTGTTCACTGGTCTCTAGTGTCTACTATACTGCTACCAGACTGATATCTTTTTAAAATACCAACCACAGCCTATTAATCCCCTGCTCAAGATTAGTTAAGGCCTTCTGCATCCTACCAGACAAAATCAAAATGTGCTTCCATGACACAGAAGGCCCTCTTTCGATCTGACCCTTACCTCCCTGTCCTGTTCTATCTTATGCCACTTATCCTTACATTGGATACTACAGAAACAGTATATAGGTTCCAAACAAGCCATGCTTCCTAATACCTAATACCTCTACACATGGCATGCCCTGAACTTGGGTTGCCCTCCCTGAAGTTCTCCACTAGGCAAACCGCTAGAAACTTCCAAGTCTCAGATCCAGCACTACTGCCTATATGAAACCTCTAATTCCTCTCAGCAGCTCAGCCTGTACTTTGCATAGAATTCCATTAAACAGTAAATACGCTGTATGTGAAGTGTTGGCTCAATTGTTTTGCCATCAAGCAAGAGGCTTCATCAGGACAGGGATTATCCTAATATCTAAACACAAGGCACACGATATTTATCTGTTTAAATGAATCAAAAAATTCACATCCAAATACTATAACAAAATGTATAACCTCAATTAATGTTACATATATTTGACAGAATATATAGCTTGAAATTTTTAATTTGTTTTAATAATTTTCCATTTGTTTTAATAGTAAGGAAAATATTCTAAAGCAAATTGTCCACCACTATCAAAATTAAGAACCAAATCCTGGATTACAACAATAAAACCCTGAATTTCAAGAAGAAAATACTTAATATATAACAGAATTCAGATTGTGCTATTACCAGTTTTTCGTTGTTTTGTTTTTTGCTACTCTGACAGTTCTTAACTCCGTTTCATTCATAAAACAAACACACAGAAAAGACTGATTTATCAAAGAAATATCACTGTAAAAGAAATGACCCAGAAAGCCAGACTAGCTCTAAAAACCATTCCGCTTGGTAGAACAGCTTTCAGAGACAGAGTTCTGCTGCCTGATTTAGATTTTCTTCTACCTGACCCGTTTCATGTTCTATCTTCCATCTCAGTGGTGGATACACCATGTTTAAATCTCTTCAAACATTTTCAAATCTAATCTATGTGCCATATAGTCATTTAGAGGAAGTCTTTAATTAATCTGACAAATAATACATTTATGATTCTTGGTCACACTCTAAAGCAGTTCTCAAACATTTTGGTCTCAAGACCCTTTAACACACTTAAAACTTGAGGACTCTATACCTAACCCTGAATTGTACTCCACATCTTTAAAATAAAAAAATTTAAAAGTTAAAAAAAAAAACTTGAGGACTCTAAAAAGCTTTTTATTTATGTGGGTTGTAACTACTGACATTTACTATACTAGAGAACCGAAAACAAATGTTAACATTTATTAATGCATTTAAAAATAATGAGCCAGCCAGGCTCGGTGGCTCAGCTTGTAATCCCAGCACTTTGGGAAACCAAGGCAAGTGGACTGCCTGAGCCCACAAGTTCAAGACCAGCCCGGGCAATTTGGCAAGACCTGATCTCTACAAAAAATCAAAACATTAGCCAGGCATGGTGGCACGTGCCTGTAGTTCTGGCTACTCAGAAGGCTGAGGCAGAAGGATCGCTGGAGGCCAATAGGTCGACACTGGGGTGGCCATGAGCGTGCCACTGCACTCCAGTCTGGGTGAAGGAGTGAGACTCCAATTCAAAAAATAAAATAAAAATAATGAACCATTATATGATAACATATAGTTATGAAAAATTTAACTGTTTTTTTCAAAAAGTTACAGTAGAAAGGGTTTTACAGAGTTAGAAATCTCTTTAAGATATGAGTTAGATGTGAGCAGGATTAATGTATCTGCTTCTGCCTTTAATCTGTTATGTTATTTTGATTAAAGTATGTAATGATAATCTGATCTCACTACAGATAGTAACTGGAGTATTTTTCACGGCCTCATGATGTAATTATGGATACTACACCCAAAATTAACAAGTGGATGTTTCTCAAAGATAGTTGTATCATGGATCTAAAACCCTATCAATGAATTATTCATCCAAATTAAAATCAATTAGTCCACTCTGCAATTTAAATGGACCTTTTACAAAAGTTTGATTTATCATCCATTGGTAATATGGAAATAATGAATTATGCAAATCTTCCAAATCTCAAATTATTTTATTTAATATCAAAAGTCATGCTTGTTTATATCACCACCAATCACATCAGAAAAGTCTTAAAGTACTGTTGAGAAGCCATCAATCTCAAGGCGGCAAATACAATTTTTCCAAAATTCTAATTTTTACTCAAAAGCTCAAATTTTATGAATATATTGCAGTTGCTTTTACTTGAAGTTGATTTGTGGAAGTGTCTACCAAACACCCAAATCTGAATGATGATAGTCTGTCAATCATTCTTCCAAGTAAAAATGATTTTCCAGAAAAAAACAATTAGTAACTAGTTCAGCTCACAACTCAAACAACTGTACAAATACTTTTCCTTGACAATCATCCTACTTCAGCAGTATGCAGAAATGCTTCTTGCATGCTTTTTCTTTTGTTGCATAAAATATTAAAGAAACACGCTCAAGAGTTGAAGTTTACTAAAATTAAAAATGTCCCACTTCATCAAGGGAATTCCTAAGCAACATTGGCATGTTTTTTGTTTTGCATTGTTTACTATGAGTATACGACAGTGAACACAATGACTGCTAGGACAGTTTGGAGTCAGCAATTTTATACACTATTGCTTTCGTACAAGCAGTACAAATGTCAACAAAAGGAAAAATCAAATAATGTCTTAGCATTATTATGAAAATCATTTTGACTTTTTGAGATCTATTATCTAGAATTTTTTTTTAAAGCAAGAAACAAAACTAACATAAAATGAGGAAATAATATACACTCAGAACTGAGAAGAAGAAATGGTCATGAAACACCCATCAAGTCCTAGGCAACTGAATGAAGGCCATATCAACAGAATTAATGATTCTCATTTCAGAAGAGCCAACATTCTGGACATTATTTTTTGACCAGGCTAATGCATTTAAGAAAAAAAAAGGAACCAATTAGGTTTTCCTTTATAGAGAGTGCTGTTACAGTCTGCTTTTTTTTTTTTTTTAAACAATGCTGCCCAGACTACAGAAAGTTGCTTCAATTATAACTTACAAAATTGGACAGTGAACCATGAGTATCTCCAATGCTAAATTTTGTATTAAACAAAATAACTGTACTACTAATTAACGTAGGTAGCCACACTTTACTAAAAGGGTATATCTGTTATAAGGGAAACTGTTTTCAGGGTAATTTCACTTAATGCTGTGAAATATGCCATGCAAATTCCTATTCTATGTGTCATAATGCACCAACATATTAAAGAAGTTTCTAGCTACAGAGATAATTCAACACAACACTTATTGCCTAAATGTCAAGACACAGACACTGCATGCCATTTAATCTACACAAACTTTAAGTGTGGTTGACTTAATATAAAAAGCTATATATCAAATATTTAGTCTAATAAATCAGATTATTTTTAAAAATTATTATAATATATTTGGTAGATTTCATGGAAATCAAAAAATTATATTATGAATCTGAATGCATATGGTTAGCCTTCACTGTGCCTTGTGTGAAGGTACAAAATTTCAATATGCTGTCCAGAGATGCCTCCACAACTACAGAGGCAAGACAAACCAAGAAGCATAGAAGACCTGAGGAGCACTTCCTGTCAAGGGTCTGAAGACTCTCATTCACAAAAACAGCTTCCACTGTGCCACTGTATTGGCTTTTACAAGTTTAAAAGGAGAGGAACTGCTAAAGGAGAGAAACTGCTTAACTGAGAAATCCCTGTACTACAGAACTAAAGTCAAAAAGGCAGTCCAAACGTGAAGGTTATTTGCACATCAAATTCTAAGCTTCAAAGGGCAGTGAGTCATGTTTATCCCATGAACACCCAGCATCCAACAAAGTGAGCACCACAGAAGACACGCAGATATTAGTGAATGAATAAATGGCTAAAGAGGGTGAGGAAAAAGAAACTGTGGGAAAGAGAAAAAACATGAATTACATTTCCATATTTTCTAAAACGGCACACCATCATATGGACTCCACTCAAAGCACAGGCATGTCTAAGAATACAACATTGATATAGCTGAATATAACCATGCATACCCACCAGGCTTGATGTCCTTGTAAACCAAGTTTTCCAAGCCATATATGAACTCCCCTGAATGTGCACCTGCGTCCGCATGGCAGCAATAACCAAAATGCAAAGCATTTAAGACACCTTTATTTTCACATGGAAAATATGCCTAAACTTAATTTCAAAGAATCAGAAATTATACAACAGGACAACTGAAATGTGGCAGCACCAAGACCACTTATTCCTAAGGAAATAGTCACAGTGATGCCATTAATAAAAATGGTATTCAACATACAAACTTTATTTTTATAATAGTAAAACAAACAGCTTTAATAATTAAAATTATAATAATTGTTTCAAATTAAGTGAGGCAGGCAAATTGATATTTTAGCTACTGTCTCATTGAAATCCAAATTATAAATCAGCAAAAATCTGTTATTTTGGTTCTCTTTTTGACTGCCATTTTGCCCATTTTCAGAATAAAATATTACTGTAGTATTTGACACCGATTTTAGAGTTGACTGAAATGACTTCATCTTACTTTAGTGTGATCTGTTCCCTTTAGATACACTGTCTGAATCTTTCATATCAATTCTTGTTAATGATGACTAAGAGCAGCATCTTACACTTTGCTCCCCAAATTCAGCCAATCCTAGATAACACTCCAAGTTTAACCTCCCTAAATTACAGCTCTGATCATCTAACTCCCTGGATTTTTAAAGAAAGAAAAAGAAAATTTACTGACTCCCCCACTGGCTAAAGACTAAAGTTCACTATTTATTGTACGCAGTTAAGAAAATAAGCTCTAGGGCCAGACTGGGTTCCAATTCTACCTCTACCATTTTCTAGCTGTGTGACCCAGAACAAGCGATTTAACTTTCGGCTTTCTCAACTATAAAATGGGAACCATAATAGCACCTATTATCATATGGTTGTGACTATTAAATCAGTTAATTAATGTCAAGCATTTTGAGGAGTGGCTGGCAAATGCTAAGTGGTCAATAAATGCCAGTCGCCATCACTGTCATTATAATTATCAACAGAGCATTCAAATCTCTAAAAATTGATCTATCTTTAGACTTCTAATCTTACAATGCAACTATACTCTATCAAACTACCAAAGTGCTAGCTATTCCCCATAGATGCTTCCTCCTACACTGTCCCTTCTACCTAAAATGCTCTCTCCTTTCTGCATACCTATCCAGGTATGACCCAGCTGAAATAAACACCTTAACAGTATCTGCCCTGTCTCTTTGGCTGAACATGGCATATGCACTCTGAATTCCCGTAAGACTCTATTTGTACCTCTCTGATAGGACTCAACATTTTATCCTGCATATTACTATGTAAATGCATTACTTGCCCAATTGAAATGCAAGATATTTGACAGACATATCCAGGGCCTTTCTAATTTCTGTGTCCAATAATATGTAGAGCAGACTGTCATCAGACTTTTGTAAAGCACCTGGAAGCTAGAAGACAACGCCTACAAAATTCTGATCTTTAACCCAGTATTCTATCCCCAGATAAACCAAACAAGTGTAGAAATAACATACAGAGACATTCAGCCTTGAAAGAATGTCCAAAATTATATCCAGTGTATCCTTTCTTAAAAGCTATTAGATGCACTCCAGCAAAACAAAGGAATAAACTAAGGGGTTGGGGGGAGGCAAGGGACCCAGGAAAGAGTAAATTAAAACAAAGAACAGTAATGAAGACCAGTCCCAACAGTTTGTAGCAAGCCTACAAGACAACCCATTCAGAGGGAGAACTCCAGGAGAAAATGGGGTAGGGTACAGTGCCAATAGATGGGCTTATGCAACTGAAAAATAATGCCAATGCTCATGTAACAAACAGATTTCATTTAGCAAAAGAACTAAAGGGAAGTTTACATTCAAAACATTAAGCAAATTAAAAAGCAGCATTTACAAATTCAAAAAATCTAAAAGATTGTGTAAGAAAGGAAATATAATCATAGCATATCACTTGATCTGTACAGTGAACAATAATTGTATTGTCAAAGTATTGAAAACATTGACTAGCAATTGGCCAAAAATAATAATATATCCATATTACGAGAAGGTTGGGAGGAGAATTTAGGGTACAAGGAGATAAAGAGGCAACTAGCATTACAGAAAGTCCTAAATAATGCCTTACATGAATAAATTAGATTAATAATCGAATGTTAATATTGCTACAAAAATGACTCCCTCTAAAGAGTGGGTATGAAGGGCAGCCAAAGGTGGAATAAAGAACTGCCGTTTTCATCATGTCTTTTTGGCAAAACCATTTGATTTTTAAACGTGTGTATCTATTACTTTGATAAAAAATCAATGTTAACGTGTGTATCTATTACTTTAATAAAAAATCAATGTTTAAAATACAGAATCTACCATTTGGGAATCTTTTGGCCTTACTAAGAATGCAATCTTTCCTTTTATTTTTATGATAGCTTTCCCAGAAAAATAAACTCACTCCAATACAATAAAAGGAGAAAAATATCAAGAAGTTTATTTTTGCAGTTGAGCAAATTCTCTAGAAATGAACTGTTTTATTTCAATTCTTTTTTCTCACATGATAGTGAGCACACTCTATTTTATAAAATGATACAAATTACATAAAAATGCCTTTTTCTGAACAGATCAGAATGAAGATTTTTTTACTTTTATCAACTGCTGCTTAGAATAGCATCACCTCCTCTCTTTTTTCTGAGTCTTTATGCATATGCAATGGTGCTTCTGTGGCTTTTAAAATCAAGAAATAAGTTGAAAAATAATAAGTAAGTAATAACTATTCATTGATAACGATAAAAGGCAAAGTATCTAAAGGCGAGGGCTGTGTTTGTCATTCGTGTGACATATATAAAAATGGGACTAATAGCCACAGAAACGAGAAAAGAATATTTACATGCAGTCAAGATAATTAAATGCATCTCTTAACAACTGAGAAAAAAAAAATCTCAACATATTTCCCAATTCCTGAATTCACCTCTTTTGTACAAGACATTTTTGGCAAATATAACATATCAAAACTGAGTGTAAAAGTCTCACTTTCCGAATTTTAATTCTATCTAAACAAAACTTAAATTTCATCATCCAAGGAACTGCAAAGTAATTATTATATATTATATATGCCTGTCAGTTCTACTTAACTAAAATTATTGGAGGTGTACATCCTCTACAGATAAAGCAGATCACCCATAATAGCTTCTCCACTAGACCCAAACATTTCAGCTTCCTAAGCACTGAAGACTCAAGACCTGTCAAAATTTCATAAGTGCTCAGAACAAAATGTATATATAGCAAGTTATCATTCTGCCAATTAAACTGTCAACTTCTAAAACAGATATCATGCCTTTTCTTACAGATCACTGAAAACACTAAAATATTTTTGAGTACTCATAAGTTACCTGCATCCAAAAAAAAAAAAAAAGGAAAAGTTTGTGGTTTCCTTCTCAAAAAAAAAAAATTCATTATATACATTAAATTAGAAATGTATAATTACATATATCAATATAGCCTATTGATGAATTATAAAATTATATATTGTATTAAGAAAATACACTAAATCTGAACAATTTCAAGAAAAAAATGAAATTCTAGTGCTCTCCAATTCTTTCTCTTCATTTTTATGGCACTATTTCTATAAAAATTAACCAGAAGTAAATATTTTAGAAAGATAGCACTGAATTGTCATAAAACTATTCTCAGCTTTATTTGGCACTAATACAAATTAGTAAAATTATTTTCCTAAAAATACAGATACCAAGTTTCAGCAGAAAGGCAAAATAGGTTAAAGTAAGAAAAGAGAAAGAAAATAAAATGTCAAAGCTTTTGAAATTTTTTTCATTATAGTAACCTCTGTATTTTACATACTTAAGTAACTTTTTATAAAAGAATCAATATTTCCACATATGAAAAAAGATACATGGAGCAAAAATCAGAATCATGGATAAAGTTTAATGAGCAAGCTCTATTTTTAAAAGAGATTTCCTACTGATTCCATTAAATGTAAGCAGGCTAAGCTTAGAAAAGAATTTTTATAATATCTAGATATAATTAGTGTCATTTCTAACTCAACATTTGCTGTATCTTTTAATAGACTATCTTCATACATCATTGACATATATACACATGCCACCAAATGACACAATGACATAAAAATTATGAAGAATGCTAATAACTCATACCCCAATCAGCAACTGCTCACTGACATAAAAAAAATGAACAAATTGGATATTTAGAGTCCTCCAACTCACTCTACAGCCTGCTCTTTCACCTTATCCTTGTTATAGCTTTATAAGCCAAATCAAAATAGTCATTAGATTTGTTTTAAGATAAAAATTAAACTTAAGGAAAGATGTTAAAATCTTGAAACCTGAGTAATCAAGATGTTTTTCTTTAAATATCCTGTACAATATGAAGAGAGATAGCTAGACCAGAAATATAGCAGCATTTCCTCTAAACAGCATTTCACTCAAGCAATATGCTTAATTTCATTATCTGGAAAGAACAGAGGTGAAAATGCACAAAAAGAAACTGTTAACATTTGACCAAAACAAACAGGTCTTCAAGGACTCATGGAATCTGGCAAGTCTCCTCAAGTAGCATAGTAAAAATGGTGAAAAAAGTAGAGAAAATCAAATTGATAGTGAGATAAAACAATCACAAAGAAATTTATATTCCTAAATGAGAGGCATTGAAATATTTATAATCAGTATTTTAAAATTTTTTTAAAGATTCTTCCTTTGCAAGTTTATAAAGACTTATGAAAGCATCCTCATTAAAGGGCATTAAATAATCTAAAATATAGGTATATCTAAGTTTATCTGAAATAAACTTTTTACCTTTTTCTGTTGCTTTTTGAAGGGCTTCTTCAATTCGAGATAGTTCTTTCTGTTTAATATCCTGCAAGGATTTTTCTTCTTTTTCAGCATCATATTTAATACCTAAAAAGAAAAAAATTAATTCACACAAATATAAATGGGATTAATAAATAAACAAATGAGAACAACTCAGTCTCATTATGATTGTGCATGTGTGTAAAGTCATCTTTGTAATAAAAAATTATTTTTGCATTCTTTAGATTAGTTTTACCAAAAATTTAAACAAATTATTCCTATTCACTTACAAAATTTACATAAAAAGGAAGGAGGAAGGGAAAGGAATTACGGGAAGAAAGGAAGATAAGAAAAAGAGAAAGGGGGAGAAGGGTGAGTAGAAAGGTAAGAGAGAAGGTAGAAAATACATCAGAATATTGCCAGTTATTGTTTCTGAGGGGTAAAATTTTGAGTAACTGCAAAAAAAACTAATATCCAATATCACCTGATATCCACGTAAACAGAAACTTTCAGAAAGTAATTCAAAAATATGTATTAATAATCATAAAATATATTTTTTAATCTAGTAATCTCATTTCTGATAATGTGACATGGAAATTAAAAAAGTAAAAGATCTCAAAGAAAGAATCATTTATAGTATTTACTATATTAGCAAAAAGTAGCAGGTAGCCTACAATAGAGCATCATGCAATCTTTCAAGATTGTCACTATCACCAAGAAAACTGTAAAACTTATCAAAAACATACATATTCAGTGAAAAAGCCAGGTCAATGTACACATATGATAACTGCTATGTAAAATTGAGTATGTATATGGTAAAGACTGGAGAGCAAAATGTAAAATAAAAATTGTATCTGTATTACAGTTGAGAAATTATTAGCTATTATGTCTGTATTATGGTTGACAAATTATTAGCTATTTTCCCCTAAAATACTCAAGATTTTAACATTATATAGTTCTTATAACTAAAAAAATAATTAAAGATGTTACTTAAAAATTGCTACTTTAATTCATTAAAAATTAAAATACAATAATTTCAAAGGAAAAAAGTTACCTATTTTACATACATTTTTGAGAGAACATTCACTCAAAATCAGAAGCAACAAAGTGAGAAAAAAGTAAATTTTCTGATCTTAAATTCTGTAGATTAACATATCAGCACATTTTCAAAAACCTATTTCACGCCCCTTCAGGAAGTCTGCCTAATGCATCTCAACAGAAAGTCAAAGCTGGAAAATAATTATTCATACAGAATAGAACACATTTTTAAATGGTTACATTTATTCTTTTTTTTAACAATACATAAAAATACTTTATATACAAATGTGATAATATATTAAGGGGGAACCCAAAAAAATGGAATTATTTTTTGGAGGATGGGCCTCTTGTAGTATAAGCTTTCCCTGCTAGGCAAGTGTTCTAGGAACCCATTGGAGTCAGGGAAACAGCTAACATTGTTGCAAGAGGCTGTGTTTGGCAACAATGAATTTTTTGGAGATTCTTTCAAGACATTTGTCCATTGCATGATGAGTGATTTATGAGCGCTCCTGCCCATATCACACTGAGTGTCCAGCAGTTTTTGACCAAAAACGGCATGACCCCTGTTCCCCACCTTCCCTATTTACCCGCTCTCATCCTGAGTGTCTTTGTTTCAAAGGAAAATATTTTGCCAACATGGAAGAAGTAAAACAAAAAACAGCGGCACCAAAACTAATAGTTCAAAATCTGTTTTAAGCAGTGGAAAAACCATCTCAATAGGTGTACTGCATCAAATAGAGAGTACTCCGAAGATGACAAGTTTAGGGTTGTTAGAATACACAATTTTTCATAAATAAATTCTGGGGGTTTTGGGGGGCCCTCCTCATATATAAAACAATGTGTATATATATATATATATATATGTATATATATATATATATATTCACATATGTATATAATTTGTTTATTTAAATTATCTTTTATCATAACAAATATATTAAAATACTTAACAAAGTTAACAGTTTAATTTCACCATGATGTTACTGAATACTTATAAACTGAAACAACATACTTGCTCCAGGGACAACAAGCAGGTATAATCCCTCTAGAGTTGCAACAACTGCTTCTCCATAAAGGTTTTTCCAAGGAATCTTCAAAGTTAACTTGTCTAAAAAAACAATTTCAACCTTAAATTATTGTTTGACCACTGAAGGAGACATACATTTCTTACTTTCCGTGAAAAGTATAACAAGACTCTACATGTATACAGTATGTGTATCACACAGGAAAAAAAAAAACTCCAACACTAAAGCTTACAAAGATCATTACCTCACTAAAATGACTATTAGAAGTGAATATAAGCATGATGCTTTATACTTTCAAACTTTTTTATAACTATTATCTCACTTAATAGTCCCAAACTGTAAGATAAACGAGGCAGCTATTATTTCAATTTTGAAGAAAAGGAAGCTCAGCCCTAAAATGGTTAAATTACTTGCTTAAATCCATCCAGGTCATCAGTGAGGAAGCTGAAACTAGACTCAGTGCATGGTAATAGTGAATGGTGTTAATACTACATTGGCAGTTCTAGCTACACCAACAACTAAATCTCCATGGATCAACTGTAAAATAGTATCTGCGCAAGATACCAGGAATTGAAGCAGCAACACAGAGAAAAATCTCAAAGGAAAAGAACTTTGACAGTATGCCAAACTGCTATGATTGGAAGAAGCCAGCCCTAAAGGCAAGGTATACTGTTTTATAAATAGTGTTATAAGTTACAGACAACTCAGACCAATTATATTCCAAATACGTGCCTATAAATCACTTGGAAGGCAGAAGACATTTTCTCTCTTGGAAACAAAAATTAATGTCAGATGCTTCAGAGACAAGCCCACAAAATCTTTTACTCATAACACAGAAGACCTATGGCCCTAATATTACTAACCCACACTTGTGGCTTTATGGGGAAAAGGCTATATGCAAGGAAAAGACAAGACAAAATGAGCATCCTCGCAACCAAATTTTTAAATGGTCAAAATTTGTCTTTGATGTCTTCCCAAATTTCTTTCTTTATTCTTTTCCTAATCTCTAGTATCCCCTCTTTCCAGGCAGCTAATGCCACAATCTGTCCTCAAAACAGTACTACAGCAATTCTATCCAAATCTTCCTTACCTACAAAGTTTATCGTGTTTCAAAGTGACTTCCTTCATCATAACTTTTTAATAACACTATAAAAACTACGGTTCTCTCAGAGCTGTTGATCGAGACTCTTGGGAGAAAAGAATCTGATTCAACAAAGTCATGCTAATATGCAAAAGATTAAGTTTCATTACCAGAATCACTGTCATTTTTAAAAGAAGATGTTCGAAGTTTGAAGAATTTATAAACAGTGTAACAAACTAAAGAGAAAATAAAATAATGCAATGTTTGGGGTCGCCTGGATGGCTATGTAGGAACGCTGGCCAATTTTTCCTGGGGATCTATTCCCAGGATCAAAACAGCAAATTATTTTTCCATTGAAATTCTCACTTCTCTGGGAAACTGCCAGGGGAGGGGGAGGCACATCTCCTCCACAAAGGTAAGCAGGTGTATAATGACCATTTGTATACCTAACCCTGAATTGAACTCCACATCTTTAAAATAAAAAAAAGAAATTCTCACTTATCTTCAGCTTGTAAACCTGCTAAGTTTTTAAACGGCCCCCATGTCAGAGGAGTCTAGCAGTAATATCAATATTCTTCTGGGTCATTTCTAAGTCCGATAATTTTATGATTATGTGTTAGCTAAATTTACAACAAGTACTTTACATTTATAATATCACAAAATTTACTACAAAATGTATCTGATTACCTTCTTGGTGAGCATAAGATTGAAAACATGGAACCGGGCTTGGTGGCTCAGCCTATAATCCCGCACCTTTGGGAGGCTGAGGTGAGTGGATTGCCTGAGCCCACGGGTTCAAGACCTGCCTGGGCAGCAAGACCTCATCTCTACAATAAATCAAAAAATCAGCCGGGCGTGGTCCGGCTACTTGGAAGGCTGAGGTAGAAGGATCACCGGAGCCCAGCAGGTCGAGGCTGCGGTGGCCGGGAGCGGCCACTGCACTCCAGTCTGGGCGACAGAGTGAGACTTCAACTCAAAAAAAAATAAAAAAAAAAGTAAAACGACAAATTCTGAACCACTATAAAACCTCCTTCAAGATATAAATCTAGTTGTAAGAATATAATAACTAATGCTAAACCTTAGTTACCTATCACTCTTCTAGTTCCACAGAAATACAACTGTAATCTATATCCTAATTTTAGATCTCCATAACTTCCTTGAGGAAAAAGATTATCATATTCATCCTTGCATCTTCCACAGCTACTTGTATAGTCTTGTAGAAAGCATGAGAGCATAAATACTTCAAAGGTAAAAGAAAAAATAAATGGCTACAACTTCTATACCCAAGGATTTCAAATAAGCATGCAAGGCCACAACTATACTTCTAGAGCACTGCTAAACATCACCACTACACCCAGCAATATCTATCAGACGAACAAAAAAGAGAGTGCACACCCTAAAGATGCTTTTACTCTAAGTAAATGTCTCTTGTTTAAAGAGACAAAAACATAAAAATATTCTCTAGTATTAAAAGGACACATATGTGATACAAAAATGAGCCCAAACAGACATCTTCAAGTAAATGCTAAGAAATGCTAGAGTGGTGAAAGACACACAGAATACTGAGTGAAGAGGAAAAGTGATGAGGTGTAATAGTCGCGTGATGAAGTTGAGAGGAAGGATGTGGCATAAGTGAAAAGTCTAAAGAGTAAGTTACCTTGGGTTGTAATTTACTCGTGTGTGTGTGTGTGTGTGTGTGTGTGTGTGTGTAAGTAAAAACCCAATAGCATGAACTAGTCAGGAGGACTTTAGAATAAATTTCCTGTCGAAAATTTCTTCAACAGAGATATATATTTATTTATAGATGGTCTTAGTGTTAATAGTTTAGCTGCAAAGAGACCTGTACTCACCAAAACATATCCTGCATACCACACTACTGCATAATATATCAAGTGAAAATGGTTGAACAAAACATAAGGAAATAAGCTACATTTAAAGTTTATTTACTTGAGTTTGTTAATTATACTTATTCCACATATAAAGAAAAAGCACCAAAATTTGGAAATCAATTTTGAAAATAAAGATATATTTTGTGCAGTGGAACCAAAGCCTGCAGAGCACAACTGAAGTTCAAATGTCCTTCCATTTTCTACCTTTTTAAAAAAAAAAAAAATGAGATGTATCCATCAATTCTAACTAATGTCAGTCAAAAATTTCTCACTCTTTTGGTCAAAGATTTTTTTAAATTAAATAACACAAGCAAAATAACAAACTAAAAGAACTAAGGATAATTCAAAGGAAGACTTAAGTACTTACCAATTTGGCCAGCCTTGACTTTAAAAGGAACATCCAATTCACTCTTCAAAAGAAAGAAAAAATGTAAAGGATATCTTAAATTATTAAGTAAAAAAAAAAAAAATCACTTTTGTACCATCATTTAAATATACTAATCTATACGAGAAAACAAAAACAATTTTCCATAGTTGAGTAACTCATAAAGAATATGTTTGAAGACTAAAAAGAAAAAGGTTTTACTAATTTAAAATTTGAAGACAGAATTCACAAGAGAAGCAAAATGATAAATAGGATAAATAGAAAAAGTCTGTAGCTAAAGTAATTGAGTAAATTGATTACATGTTTTAAATAAACCAAATCAAATGGAAATTCAAATCAAATAAAATAAATTTAAACAAACACTGTTTATCTGAAACATAGACCAGGAAAAAGAATAGAGCCCTTTTGTATAAATTAGTTGAAAACAATAACTGAACAACAATTCTTTTGCAAATAAAATATTTAGTTAATGAATATATAAAAATTTTTAAAAGGAAGGTAGATTCCCAACACATTATTCACCAAATTAGAACTTGTTTCAGTAAATTACAGAGAAGTACCAACAAATAATAAACTTTTACTTACCTAGATTCCAACCCACTAAAAAGTTCAAATTACTTCTTTACTCACAGAGTACTAAACAATAACTGACCTTCATAATGATCACCTAAGTCTGTAGAATTATTAAAAATTAAACCAGTCAGTACAGCCTTTCTGGCAGGTGTACCCTAATACATACTAATACTACAGAAAATCTGACCACGGCACTTTAGGTAACATTTAACTAAAATAATCAGTTTACTTGATCATCTGATTACTCACACATCCTAGGTAAACGGAATTGAACAAAATATTAATGGCTTTTGGAAAAAAGCCTTTTTTAGACAAAAAAAAAATCTTTGCTGCCAATAAGAGCAATTATGCCCTCCTGGAGGACAGAAAAGATACATTCAAAAGACTTCACATTATACAAGTTACAAACTGCAAACTACCCACTTCTAAAGATGTGGTCTCATGCTCATTTTGATCCTCCTAAAATAATTTTCACACAAAATAAATATAAAAATCCACATCAAAGTAAAACCTCACCAATCTGGTTTAATTAGGAAAGGAGCCTAGTCTGAATTAATAAAGAACATGAATTACAAAATATTTTATTATATTTAATATAACCAAAATTCAAATTAGGCTAAACAGAGTTCAAGCAATTTGTCTCCAAAGGATGTTAGACATATATCTGTCACCATAATTATATTTATATTTATTTTCTTATAAAATATTGTCATAAGTAGAGGGGGGAAAAAACCTTTATTCCAAATTCTAACAACAGAATCATAAATTCTAAATCTTTGTACAAAATTTTAAAAGTCGTAGCATCCTATATAAAGGGAGAGAAAGAAAATGTAAATATTGTACCTACTATGTGATAGACTCTTTTAGGTCACAAAGACAGAGATGCTATATTGTTTCATAATTGACTCTACTTTAAAGATGATTAAACTGATGCTCAAAGATTAAGAAACTATAAACCTGAGCAACTGATTAAACAGTAGACTAATCTTAAGAGACTTCAGAAACTCAAATTTAGCCCATTAAGGCTAAACATCTACTTAATGGGGGGAGGGATGTTGCTTTGTTTGTTTTTAATTTCAACAGTAAATGACTTTCTGAAGCTAGAATCCAAAAAAGTCCATTTTCTCTCTTAATATTATGATAATATTATAAGGCTAGACTGTCAACATTATTTCTAAAAATATAATTATTTGTGAGAAAAGTTATTAAAAATCAAGCCCTTATTTACCTGAAAGATATGTAAAGATAATTCTGAAGAAAAATATTTCTGTATGAAAAATGTCAACTACAAAGCTATATGGTCAAATTAGGTCATGAACAATACCTCATTTTCCAAGACATACTATTTTGATCGCCATACTATTTAATCTCAGAGTTTTCCGTCGGCAAATAGTTAAATAGATAATCCTTCTGTTGGTGACTCAATCATTTTATCTGGTACCTAGTACTAGATGCCTGGTAAGCAAAGGTTTCTAAGAACTCACCATATTAAATGAGTGATTAGCATGGTTTAAAAAAAAAAAAAAACTTACCAGGGCATTTTCTTTTATCTGAAGATTATCTAAAGCCACATTACCTTTAAAAAAATAAAAAGAGGAAAAATATAACATTAATACACCAATAAGTATAACCTGTCTGTCATAAGGCAGTAGCAGACACTAAGAAACTGTGCTAAGGTGCTAAGAATACCATGCCAAGCATGACCTGGAGAGCTAAAGAGGCCACAATCACAGAAGAGTTGCTACATATGGTCAAGAGGTGTTGGCTGTTAGCATGCTTTAGATCAACCCAGGGTAAAGGAAATGGCAAAACTATTTAAGCTGCCTCACATTTACATAAACGATGAGGAAGAAGTGGGAGCCATTTGGATTGACAAACTTTAAGACCAAAGTAAGCCATCACTTTGAATGTTTAAGCCAAAATCTCAAAAGAAGAACATAAAGAGGTGACTACAAGGACTGACCAATTATCCTGGGTTCCTTAATTACAGTATCAATAAACATTTTCTTCGAAACACAGCTTTAGTCTTTCACCACTCCAAACATTCTCCCTTCCCAACAATTATTGCTTATGTGTTGTTCTTTTTGATTTGGGGGTCTCACTCTGTTGCCCAGGCTGCAGTGCAGTGGAAAAATCATGGCTCAAGGCAGCCTTGACCTCCTGGTGAGCGAGCACTCAAGTGATCCTTCCACTGTAACCTTCCAAGTAGCTGCGACTACAGACATGCCCCACCAAGCCAGACTAATTTTTTTTTTGGTAGAGATAAAGTCTCACTATGTTGCCCAGGCTGGTCTTGAACTCCTGGACTAAAGCAGTCCCCCCATCTTGGCCTTCCAAAGTGCTAGGATTAGAGGCACTAGCCATGGTGCCTGGCCTGTTTGTGGTTTCAAAGTTCTTTAATTAGTCTGGCTTTTCTTACACCTATTCATATGTTATTGCAAAATCTAAGTCCAATAATGATACTATTACATGGCTCAAATTTTAAACACTGTACCTTTATTTTTGCTATATGATAGGTAAATATCTATGCTCACGTATAACACTTAAGTGAAAAAATTTCATTTCACTTACATTCTGTAAAGGCTAATAAAACCATACCTTCAACATTAAATGCAGGCATAAATTACTGTTATATGTTTCCTAAATCACTCATGACACTTTTTTAAACTATTATAGTACCTATGCTCTCCATTAATATTTTTCAATCAAGTATCTTTTTCTTCATAGTGTTTTAGAGTGAACTAAAAAGTATATTTAATTTAATTTTAGAGACTTATTTTTCCCGAGATCTCAAATTTATTCAAACAAACATCCATTAAGCATCTACTATGTGTTAGGTGCTAGGAAGAGAAAGATTACTAGAACAGTGTCCCTGCTACTAAGGCAGATGAGAAATATTCTACCGGCACGCCAACAGAAGAGTACACAGGATGCAAAGGAGGAGCCACCTCACTCTGCCCAGGGAAATCAAGAACACACACAAGTCTAGGCTGGGAAGCTTAAGCAGTATTTACTCGGTGGATAAGAAAAGAGAGCAAACAGAAATGCATGAGAAAGGCCCATTTTAAAAAGCACATGTGGTTTGAAGTGTTGCTGGAGGATGTGGAAAAAGGATAGAAGATAAACTCAGAAAGACAGACAGGAGCCACACTAACAAGGAGCTTTTAGGATGAAAAATACAACCTGGCCACAACAAAGAGACAAAACATATTAGTATATAACAGAGGTAACAATATTTTGGAACCATCAGTCTACTATCCTAAGGAATAACAATCTGTTCAAACAATTTAGCTGAAAGAATATTTAAACACTGGGAGGCAGAGAGAGAAGAGGGGAGGGAGGGAGGATCTAAAGACCTAAATGCCTAGCAAGAAGGCAAAACTCAGATTACTATATTACAGAGCAAAAGAAAATGCAGAAAGACATGAGAAAGTATTCATAGAATACTGACTTTTTAAAAAAAGTTAAAGAATGCCCAGGTGGATCAAATTTTTTAAATACCTATATGTGCTTATGGAAGTACATTCTACACAAACACAGAAAACAAAAAATTACAAGACAAGACACTATAGCACAGTGGTTATTTCTATATAATAAAGTTTACTTTCTGTGTACACATAGTTTTCAAATTTTCTAAAATAAATTGTTGAAAACAACAATAAAGAGAGAAAAGGAGGTAAGAAACCTCACAAACAGGAGGAAAATACTACAGCATTATAACAGGAAGTGGGAGGACACAGGCAGTCAGGCAGCTTCTCTCATACACTGAAAAAAAAATTAAAACCTAAAATAAGCTAGTAACTTCAAGATCAAAGAGATGGACTCATAGTAAAAAGTTTTTCCTGATCCCAGGACTGACAATGTGTCATCACTGCCCAATGTAGGGATAATAAAGTAGTCATAGAAGACTCATCTGTTCGGCAATTGGAGGAAAAAAAGAAGTCTTTAAGTATTATATACGCACTAGAATTACATAAAGTAGATAGATATTCCTGGATTGAATTCTGTCACATAAGGAATTACATAAAATTACAATTAGGAATTCTTCTGTTCAAGCCCACAGGGCGATCTGTACAGATGCTAGTACATATCTGAAGCCACCAGCCCAGCTGAACCTGCTCTAAGGCCCCTACGCAGACTTTCAGACCTGCTCATGAACTCTGCGCTACCTCGTAATCCTCCACTGTGTATCAAAGGCCACCAGGAGTGCTCAGAAGTCACTGCACTAGAGATGAGTTTTTAAAACAATTGTTAAGACACTAACATAATGTTTGCAAAAATATAAACACCCTTTTAAAAATGTGGACTGTTTCTACTGCAGTGACACTTCAGTTCTTTAATAGAGTAGTGGATAGTAGGTGGTATTTAAGATGTGAAATATTGAAGGCTGACAATATGGGTATCAGAGTTAAACAGATATATGGTAGACAAAAAGACTGAAGTGATTATCATTGGGTGGCAGGATTAAAGATGGGTTTTTTTATCAATACTGTTTGGTATTTTCTAGTTTTTATAATAATTAGATATTACTTTAATGTGAAATTATTATATACACTGAAATATGAGACAAGGGGAAATAAAACTAAAACAAAGGTAAATTCCAATATCAATATGACTTCATATATTTATATAAACTTTATATGTATTTTTATATATTCTTGTATGATTCTTTCTATATCTAACTTTTTTTTTTTAAATAGGAGTCTTACTCTGCCACCCAGGCTGGGGTGCAGTGGTACAATCACTGTTACCATAGCCTCCACCTCCCGGGCTCAGGAGATCCTTCCACCTCTGCCTCCCAAGTAGCTGGGACTACAGGCATGCACCATCATGCTGGGCTAATTTTTTTATTTATTGTAAAGATGAGATCTCGCTGTGTTGCCCATGCTTGTCTTGAACACCTGGGTTCAGGCAATCCTCTCACCTCAGCTTCCCAAAGTGCAGGGATTGCAGGCATGAGCCACCACACCCAGCTATAGCTAATATTACCTTGCCCTAGACACATAAAAATAGCAAAGAAATTATCATTTCTGCTATCCAGAATCTAACAAATAAATGTATACTTCCTCTTTGAAAACGTGAATGTTATCTAACAGGAAGTATCACTAACAATGAAACAAGAATGATACAGTCTACAAATGATTTGCACTAAAGGAGGAGCCACTAGTCTTAACACAAAAAAAAAAGAGAAAGAAAAGCAGCAGATTTCAGATTAACACCAGTGTCAGGGTAAAGAGGTAAAAGTACATTCATTCATTCAACCAATAGATGAGTGAATTCAACCTTATCTCAATAAGGCACTGGGCTAACAAGGGCTCTCCCACTAAACTGTATGCTGTTCCCACGGAACTGTAACTGTATTACATAGCCTACGGATGCCGGAAATTATGTTTAAATAAAAATAGTTTGTAAGACCAAAATTAAAGCAGATTCCCCTAAAAATCAACCATTTTATATTTAACTGAATACTGATGAAAAAGATTTCATTTTCCTTTTCTACATTAGGATCTTAATAACAAAATAATTTCATACATACACAAGTAACTTTACTGCTATAGCCAGATCACCAGGGCTAAGAACACACAGAAGCCACAGAAAGTTTCAGAAAAACTGAAGGAAGTAAGGGTAAATATTTGTGTCTAATCTTGAAGGAAAAAAAAAAAACAGGGAAAAGATGACTAAAATTGGGAGATGAATAAACTTAACTGACAGCAAAGAAAGCACTAAAGCCAATCCCACAATCAGGTGGCTCTAACCTCATCAAATCCAAAGAGACCAAGGTGACAAACAGGGAAATGCTGTGGTCTTGTTCTATGCTGGACTGACAGGCCCATAGGATAAGGGTAAGCAATAGTATAGTCTGTACTTCAGAAGAGACCCTATGTGATTCTCAGTAACAATCCACAAACCTTCTGGATGAGCACATACTGCTAGGAAGTCACACACACAGTTTCAAAGCCAATCTTGAAAGATATTCTAAGAAGTACACTAAAAGGGTAGTTCCAGAGCAAAATGTATCTAATAACCTTTGTCAATGAACCAGATGATGGAGATGAACGTAAATCCATTAAAAGAGCAATGACATCAAGAGCTAGAGTCCTCTCCAAAAATAAAACAGAAAAAGAAATAATTGCTAAATCACAGAAAACAACCAAGGTAGTATATTTACACATAAAAATCAAGTGGTACTGGCATGATATGACACAAAACTGCCTAAGTTGAAGGATGGCTTTTAAAACACATAATATGAATTTCTGTACTGTCATTTTCAGGTCTGAGAAAAATGGTGTTGGTGATCTGATGGGTATTGCATTGAATCTGTAGACTGACTTCGATAGGATGGATATCTTGGCAATACTGATTCCTCCAACCCATGAGCATGGAATGTTTTTCCATTTGTTATGTCACCCTTGATTTCTTTGAGCAGGCTTTTGCAGTTCTCAGCTTTAAAGATATTTCACTTCTCTAGTTAGTGGATGCCAAGATTTTTTGTGTGTGTGGCTACTGTGAATGAACTTGCATTTTTTATTTGGTTCTCTGCCTGCTTGTTGCTAGTGTATAGACATACCACTGTCTTCTGCACATTGATTTTGTACCCCCCAAGACTTGACCAAAGTCATTTATCAGTGCAAGGAGACTTATGACAGAATCCTTTGGGTATTCAAGGTATAGGATCATATTGCCCACAAACAGGAATAGCTTAACTTCTTCTTTCCTATTTGGATAGCCCTGATTTCCTTCTCTTGCCTGATTACTTCAGTTAGGACTTCCAGCACTACATTGAATACGAGGGGTGGAAGTGGACTTTCTCAGGGGGAATGCTTCCAACTTCTGCCCATTGAGTAAAATGTTGGCTACGAGTTTATCACAGATGGCTCTTACTGTTTTGAGGAATGTTCCTTCTATACCTAGATGTTCAAGGGTTTTTATCAAGAAGGGATGCTGGATTTTGCGAGTGCTTTTTGGTTCTTGGTCTTACATCTGTTAATGTGCTGAATTATGTTTATGGTCTGCAGAAATTCCTATGGAAACATAAAAGAGCACAAATAGCCAAAACAATCCTCAACAAAAGGAACAAAGAAGGAGTTTAAACACTATTTCAAAGCTACAGTAACTAAAACAGTCAGCTATTAGTACAAGAATAGGCACATAGACCAATGGAACAGGACAGAGATTCCAGAAGCAATACTCAGTCTCTGAACCAAGTCACCTTCGACAAAGCCATCAATAACCATCACTGAGGAAAGGAGAATATATTTAGCAAATGGTGCTGGGAAAAATGACCGACCACATGCAGAAGAATGAAACTGAACTCTTACCTATCACAATATACTAAAACCAACTCAAAATAGATGAAAGACTTAAACATATATCCTCAAGCTGTAAGAATCCTAGAAGAAAACATAGGAAACACCCTTATGTACACTGGAGTAGTCAATGAATTCTTGACCAAGTCCTCAAAAGTGATTGCCATAAAAGTAAGGTAAACAAGTGGGAGCTCATCAAACTGAAAAGCTTTTGTACAGCAAAAGAAACCATCATGAAAGTAATGAGACAACCCACAGAATGGGAAAAAAATATTTGCAAATTATGCAT